TTGTATTTCGCAATTTATACCCTGCCATTAAAAAGATTGGGCGGTAAATAAAACGGTTAAGATTGTGATTATAACTAAAGCCTCAGCTTAAATGCCGAATGGTTCACTGCCGACTTGGGCTCTCTAGATCAATTCCGCTGACGGGTGATTGCTGATGGCAGAGATCGATAGAACTAACTGAGAGACAGGCGAAACGAAGGACCCGCGTAGTGTGATGGTGAACGCGTTACTCCGCGGAAAGGACAATAGCGCGTTCGTCCAAGTACCTGCGGTCTGGAGTTTTGCAAATATCTCAGCAATATTGAAGTTACCCGAATAGTTACTATTCCTTCATATTATATTCTTATGTGTTCCTATAGCAATGAGTACGTCCACTTTTAGTCACATCGCTTAGTAGTCTAGCAGTATGTAAAGTTTCCATCTCATTCAGAAGAACTTTGCTTGCAATAAAAAGTATTTGTTTTACTAACTTCTTCGTGCGAACGGAGCTTTTTGTGTGTTATTTTGTTCAAATTCTTCACGACTACCGTAACATGAAAGGCAAAGTGGTGTTTGGAAGAGCCGTCTTCCTTATATAATGTGTACATGAACGTCGAGGAAGCCATAATCGACGAATTTCTTCCAGAAAATTCGGAACCTATGCCAAACACCGGCTTCTCCAGGAAATCTTTAAACGGCTCAGTGAGTCACCACCCTACTCGTATAGTTTGGGTCCTTATGGTCCTCTCGTTTACCTTATCCTTTACTCTGTCTGGATGATCCAAGTTGTTAACCTTTGTTGCAGGTCATCGCTGTTGTACGTTAACTCTGTTGTCTTATATGTACCTTTTAACATATTAACCCCATAGTCCCGTCTTTACAAGTTAATCTTATCACAAGCTTACATGTACTTTTCAATACGACAACCTCATCGCAATGTTATGACAATCTTACAAATAGGGTGTAACTCTATGGTGTTGTCATTGTAAGTCAGGTTTTACGGCTTCACATCAACTGTTGTGCTGACCACTATTGATGTAATCTATGTTACACATGCATGTCGCACCGCTTCACCGACCTGTGGCGCAGCTACTGTATCACTTCCATACATCTTTTTACGAACCAGTGTTATCCTCCTTTATTGATCCTGTTACCATGTCGGAGCTTTAATCGATGTTCGTATATCGTTATTCTCACATCATTATCGTTATAAAGGCCTAATTACCCAAGTTTGATTTCTCTGTGATAGTTCCTACGAAGTCGGGCATTTTACGTTGAGCTGGTGATTATTCAGTTCCGAGAACTGACTCGAATGTGTAATTTCCACTAGTAGTTGCTGCAAAACATCCTTGCATGTCTTCTGTCTGCAGCATGCTTCATCCATGGAAAATCTTCTTGCAGAGGTAAGAAAGTCGTCACTGGACATCGGAGTCTCTTAGCTGTGCGACTCATGCGGAGATCGACACATTTCTGACAAACAAAAGATGGTACCTACTTGACACATCGGTAGTCCTATCATTCTCTACTGGGTCCGCTCAACGCCTTCTTCGCGCGAACATTCGATTCACTCGTAAACTGGAAAAGGTTGCATGTCATCGACCAGGAAGAAAAAGTCCAGCTGTATTCAATGAGAACATTCTGAACGATATGTTATCTAAACACGACTGACGAATTAAGGAAAACTTAGTCGAAGACCACGAGCTATTTGTCGAAGGACTTGAAAGTTGTGCCGAATTCGGCTGGTTTTTTCAAGCAAGAAGATTGGATCGCATCTCTATCACCAACAGGGAGTTGCTGGAGAAGAGAACTGAGGCTTGGTCATACTAGAACATGCTTAACATAGTTAGTAATGGATGCTAATTGCAGAAAAAGTTCATTGCGAAGATATTAATATTGACACAGGCAGAAGAAGCTGGTGGAAACAGCACAGAAAAGAACTAGTCTGACGGGATACCGTCGAAACTTGTGCGAGCATGTTGTTCCGCAGTCAGCAGTGAAGAACGAAAATGGGACCGCTATTACTTTCCGCCATCATATGGAATTGGTAAATGAAAAGTTCGACACCATCTTTTTCCACTCCACAATCTCCGTTCCGCAACCTGAAATCCCTGGTGGGAAAAAACAACCTGGAATTCTTCCCTCTGAGTTTTGAGTAGCGATAGAAAGCGTCGAAAAATTCACAGCAGCAGGACACGGTGATATCACCACCAACTTCCTTAGAGCTGAATGTCACAATTTTCATATACTTCTCGCAACCCATATGACACCCTAGCTTAAAAAGGAAAAAAATTTCGGAGTGGAAGACGTTCCACATGGTTATCCTGCCTAAAAAGGTGCTCGAAGGAATCTTCGCAACTATCACTCGATATGCTTATTGAGTGTACTCTACAAGCGCACCAGAATGTAGCGTATATCAAGGATGTTGGATGAGGTACAAACAGTTAAGCCATTAGGATTTAAAGAGGGATTTTGCTGCATGGACCACATCGCAACCGTGTTTTGGGGCATACAAGTTTGTCGGGAGCACACTTTTCCCTAGTCCTGATTTTTTCGACTATCAAAAAGCTTTCCACAGCGTTGAAGCGGATTGGACCTTCTCAGTGATCGTCGACGAACCCGTTCTGCAATAAGAACTCTTATCGAACGTACTTGCTTGGATACTTCGATGGTCCTTCCTCACTAGTTGTGCGGGACCCGGCATAATTTCCATTTTTTCGGAGTTTTGCCGATTTAGCCATTGTGGTTCCCTGAAGTTCCGAGGTCACCCTAGCCAAAGTCTGTCCCAGGTCGTCACTACCACAGGCTGTCGCCGCTCTTGTGAATCATAGGGAGATTTGCCACCATGCGACTAGTTTGATGCCAGGACGGTGGTGGATCCTGGTATTGGTTTACTCCCAGCTAAATTTCTTGATGGAAACGGCGGCATCCTCGGCTTGGGAAACCCTACTAGTGGGAGGAATCCTCCCGCTGTATCGCAGCCGGACACCTTGGAACTCCTACCAGCCACTGTGAGGCGGTAAACCGTTGGGACAAGTATCGGAAGTGCACAAGGAAAATACAGTTTTCCATCGACCCCTTACCACACCCATAGGATATGGACATAGGGACACTATATTGTCAAAGCAGTTCACTGCAACAGTGGAGTAGTTAATGAAGTCACCCGATTGGAACGAGAAAGACCTTCGTATTGATGGAAATTTTCTGCCAAATTTTCATTTTGCTGAGTCTTCTCAAGAGTTACCAACGAGTAGCAACGAAGCGGGAAGCGTAATCAATGAGTTGAATACAGCGAGAAAATTATTTTAGTACTCATAAATCGGAAGAAGACCCAGTTTAGGAAAAAGCTATGGTGCGAAAGCGAATAGATCAAACCGGATAGTTATTAGATTACAAAGACCACCTCGTACATATATCTTGGTTGTTCAATGAACATGGAGAACAACCCATTCGTGACACGAAGAATTTTTTTTCGGCTGCGATCTTTCCGGTCTTTTGATAATAAAGAATGACTGCCCAGTAGTTAGAGGGCTTGAGGAGCTATAAACATGATAAAATTAGAGAAGAGACTTTGCTCTATCGACGGATTTGGTTGATATATATGCTAATGTGTACTGTGTGGTACTGTAGTCCATCACGGAAATACATTAGTCTCGGAATTTGGAAATGTTTTGCAGGGTATGATGAGACCATTTTGGCGCTTTATTTCCGCACATATGGCGCAGTGGTTGGAGGCGGCCTGCAATACACACGCAGGATCGATTCCCGCTCTCGTGCCTCAACAAACCTCCATCCTTCGGGGTCGGCAAGTTTGTACCAGACATATGCCAGATACGTATAACTATGTGGCCAAATATGCATCCCTAAAGGATTCTTCAACGCTGAGAGCTTTATCTTTTTATATCCGCGCATTCTATGTAATAACCATGATTCGTGATAGCTATCACAACGAAGTAACAGTTAATTGTTAGTCAAATTAGCAATCAATGGACTTGTCTGGAGAAAGTTTCCGTGCAAATCACAAAGTTTAGAAAACGGCTTTTCTCGTTCCAACCCTCCTGTGTTGATGTACTTTCGATCAGCCGTCCAATGAATATACATGGTGCGGTAGGAAAGTTCTGGTACCTGTTGAACTGAAAATGAAGGCCATATTGTCCAGTTCTTCACTTGAGCTGCCACGTGTAGACACTATGATTTTCATACCGTCGCGAATGGATCCATCCATTGGCGTGAATGGTTAATTTTCGCGGATCACCACCTCCCCAAGCCGTTCGATGAATTTCCTTGATCTACTTCTTCACATGTTGACCTCACCAATCGTCAATGGAGCCGATGGTGCAGAAGTGAAGTTAACATTCCTCCATCTTCTGTGCCATAACTGCTCGTGTGCTTCACCGTCTCAGTAATGAATCGCACATTTGATACGAAATCCTTCATCGTTACTGGATTTCATTTGTTCAACGCGGTTCAAACTGCCCAAAACTGATGTCGTTTTCGGCCACTTGATTTTAGACCTTTCGTTAATGAAAACGTTAAACGTTAATGATAAAACCGTAATGATGCTGAGGTATTTGCAAAACTCCACACCGCAGGTGTTTGCGGTGGAGAACGAAAGCGCTATTCTTTCCTTTCCAAGCTTTCCAGGGCTAACGCATTTACCACCACACCATGCGGGTCCTTCATTTCGCCCGCCTGTTAATGATGTAGTTTGCATGCACGTAAGCACATTCATAAAAGAATACTATTACGAGTATATGAATCAATACGGCGAAACCGAAATGAAATGCCCGCCCGAATAGGTTAATAGAACAGAACCGGGCTTCTATGAATTAGTTTCTTTCGTTCTCTTAATATTCCATGACACCGAACTAAAGTAACGATCAAGGAACTATTCAGTCTCGATTGTCCAGTGTGCAGCTGCTTACTGTTCTAACTATCTGGCAATGGTTATGTTTCGATTGGCAACCACCGCTCGATATTGGATGCTTCAACATTGAATGTCTTCCATGAGTTGTTTTATGTAGCATATCGTGATAGTACGCGATTCGTGTTCTGTGAAGTGTGTTTCAGACTGAACACGTTTCAGATGCAGCTATATCGGCTATCATGTCTTGGCACGACAACAGTACGTAGTTGTCAAACTTATGTCGGCAAGGGTAGACCTACGCTCGGTATTCGACGGGAAACGATCAATGCATGGGAGCGAAGGGCACCCTTGGCCCCGTCTCACGTGAAGAAGCTTACTCGGTCTGGTGTCAACGTACTCATTCAGCCAAGTAATCGGAGAGCTCACCCTATTCAGGTGAGGTATCTCTTTTTACAAACTATGAAACTAATTGTGAGCATACTCGTGAATTTTTCCAGTTTTATGAGTTACATGGTTCTCCGTTTATTGTGGTTTCTAACCTAGAACCGTTGCTTAAAATAAACCACAAAGATTTCAAAAGACCAAGCATGAGAATATTGATGACGCTTAGCCCGGTTTAGAAGGGCGCGTGAAGCACGGTGGTCGGAGGCGCCCTGCAATACACATAGGATCGATTCCCGCTCCCCTGGTCCACCAAGCCTTCCTGTGGGTCTGCAAATTAGCACCAGACATGTCTAGAAGGATAGCAGCACTGCCTGGATACATCGGTAGGCCACCGCGAGTCATTGTACAGGCCAGATTTGCATTCAGTCACCTCCAAACGATAGTTAATGAAGTCGAATGCATGACGCATCCCTCAGGGATTAATCAACCTCGAGAGCTTTATTTGCTTTTTTATCCGGGTTTAATAAAGATCAGCAAAAGTTGAAAATTATTCGCTTGGCATCTGTTAGTTTTTGCTTCTGTAACGTACTCAAGATATGAAGGAGTACTACGACGAATAGTAGCACCTCTTGATACGTCGTTGGAAAAGATTGATATTCATGAAACAATCCTTATTATTCGTATCAGTTGTACCACAGTTCCAATTTATTGCCTCAAAAGAATTCATCTTCCTATTGGATTGCTCGTATGTGAGGGTTTCGGTGAGCGTATATCCATTTCTGGACAAACTAGCAAACATACCTTAAGATACACATCTGGAATAATTCCACATCCTACCTCTTTTCTCATAGAGGTTTCTTCCTATTAGAATTGTTAATAATCTAGTTATTTCTTGATCGTTAGAATCCGTGGTTTTCTCTTCCAACGATATGCAGGTCTTGCTACCACGTTATGATGAGACATGTTTTTCTATTTTTTTACAGCCAACATGCTTCTCCTTTTGTTGCATCTTTGTCGAGGTTCGTAACCTCAGCTGAACAGCAAGGATTTCGTGCAGCAGTCAGGACGACGTCTGCTACGGCGTGTTCAATCGCTGCGGTTCTCGTACTTGCTTTAGCATTAAGAGTGCTAACCCTAGTCTTTTTTCACTTCTCGTCTAATCGACACTTAATTTTTCATCACATGAACCATGGATTCGCGTCAACTCGTATCAGGCAACCTACTCACACGTATTTGTCCTCTCTACCCCATTTGCTTTCGTTCAGTCCTGTCGGTACAAGAGTTAGAGCTCATCCGGCAAAAGAAGCTGAAGAACCTTACCAGCCTACCCATCAGCAGCAGCTCCGCTTGAATAAACTTGCTCAAAAAATGTTTTTACGTAATTAACTGTAGAGCGTAACTTTTCTGGTCCGAAGCTTGGTCACTCTTGTTAACTGGATATGAAAAACATGGCAAAAACTTCTTTACTGGAAATTAAACGGTAGTGAAGAACATTAAATGACTAAAGTTTTAATACTTTTTAAAGCCATCTCGAAACTTTTTTAGATCTTTAAAAATTTTGGAGTAGAAAGGATATTTTAGAAAAAAGCATGCATATCTTTGTAGCGATTGCGAAGCCTTCTGTCTTTCTTGTGCTCAAGTATTTAGTTATTGAAATTATGGCTGTCGAAGATGTATACATATATATAGATATATATATACATATATATGTATACGCGTGTGTATATATATGTATATATATATATATATATATATATATGGGTCTTTTTCAGGATTACATTGCTGCCGGTGCTACTGTTCGCGAAGATCTCTCTGATGCTCAGCTTATCATCTCTGTTAAACAGGTTAGGCTCTTTTTTGTTCTTTTCCCGGTTTTCATTGTGATATTCATTACGTTAGTTAAAAAAACGATTAATGGTTCTTTTTTAGGTCCCAATCGACCATCTTATACCTAATAAAACGTATGCATTCTTCTCCCACACAATCAAAGCCCAACAAGATAACATGGAGATGTTAGACACTATTCTTCAAAGGGTATTTGTTTTTGTCAGTCTCTTCGTTCACTTTTCAGCGAATTTGGTTTAGAAAATCCGGTTGATAGATTATGAGAAAATAGTGGATGAAAATGGTAAGCGACTGGTTATGTTCGGCAAATGGGCAGGTAATGCAGGTTTCATTGACATTCTTCATGGACTTGGATTGAGGTAGGTAAACTGCTCTTTTTGGTCTTTTGTGCAGCAGAATTTCATCCTAACTGTCAGAGTCCGTTGCAGACTGTTGGCCCTTGGTCACCACACTCCGTTTCTCCATGTCGGTCTAGCTCATAACTATAGTGATTCCCATATGGCCATCAATGCATTGCGAGACATCGGCTACGAAATCGCGCTTGGTAAAATGCCGCGGTGAATACGCTTATCAACTATGGTAACTGCGCCGCAGTCTTCTAAAGTGGTGTGTTTTGAATTGTATATAAATGCCTAATTGGCTAATTTTCAGTTCTCTTGGTCCACTGGTTTTCGTATTCACTGGCTCTGGAAATGTATCTCAAGGAGCTCAAGAGTTGTTCCTACATTTACCTCATGAATTCGTTGATGTATCAACCCTACCTAAAGTAGCCCAAAAAGGAGGTAGTTTCTTGCTTGTATGGCCTGTGTTCAACAATTTTGCATCTCTTGAAACAGCTTCCGTTGAACTCTGCTTTAACTGGTTATTCTTAAATCTTTTTCCTTCTTGAATTCGCGGATTAACTTCGGTTGGTCATCACGAGCCCTGCTATGCTGGGTTACCTGACCTCATGAATTGGTGGGAGGATTGTTGAGCTGCTAGTCCATTTCGCTCTGATAGCGCTGACTCTTGTCGTGTGTTTGCTTTTAGTTGGGTTTCCTAGTGGAAAGTTCGAAAACGTTCCCAGTTCGAGTAGTTCCGTTAAAGGATTAGCATCAGCTATCTATCACATTATGACTCCCAAGAATATCCTGTCACCACTGTAGTGTAGCCAAGCATTGAGAATGAGGACGGAGTAAACTTTGTCAATTTCTCAAAAAACGCGCTGACGTCTATGACGCAAAAGCACTCCCTAGAATCATATGGGTAATTCTTCAAATTTTTATTTATCGTCTGCCCACCAGTTTCTTGCGTGAAGTACATGACATATTATGTCTTAATCACAGCACGTAGGAAAGTGTCGAAGGAGTAGCGTTAACTGTTCCGGTTTTCTTTTATAAATGAGAGGTTTATGCGCGTGTGACGCAGTGGTCGGAGGCGCCCTGCAATACATATGGGATCGATCCTTGCGACCTCGGCTCACCATGCCCTTCATCTCTCCGGGGTCGGCAAATTCGTAATGGACTTCTTTGGGAGGAGAACAGCACTGGCTCGATACATCGGTAGGCCACTGCGAATCATTGTAAAGGCCAGATATGCATTCCATCATCCCCAACGATGCTTAGTGAAGTCGAATGCATGGCACATCCCTCAGGGATTGATCGGCGCCGAGAGCTTTATTTATCCTTCATGAGGAGTTTATGGACTACAGATTTGCGTGTAGCCTTAGAACTGAACTATGAATAGTTTTAATTGTGTAAGTTTGTTTGAAATCTTACAAATTTCACCACGCTCCTCGAGTTAATTCCAGAATTAAATAAAGTTTATGGATGTGTTGTCACCCGCGCCGATCACATGGTGTCAAAAAATGGCAAGTTTTAATGCGATTTCGTGTTCCATTTTCTAGTTGCAAATTCGTTGTGATTTCCAGGTGGACCATTTAATATAGAAGAATTTGAGAAGCATCCTGATCGCTATATTTCGAAGTTTGCCACCGAGGTGAGGCGGCTTGTCACAAAAGATGTGTTGCCATCATTCAAATCAGTGTAGATATTTTTATTAGGTTTGCTGTGAAGTCATTCTGTACGAAGAGATATTCTCATCAAATTAAGTAGAATACGGTACCTATTTCAGATTGCTCCATACGCATCAGTAATAATCAATGGAGTCTATTGGGATGCTCGAACTCCTCGACTGATCACGATTCCCGATGCTAAACACTTATTCACTCCTGTGCAAAAGGTAAGATTTGAGTTCCTCTTGTTAATGTTTGATTACTCTTTGAATTGAGCGTCATAATTCCACTTAAATATTTTTTTTGAAATAGATCTTCCAGTAGAATCAAAATTATTAGAAGTTTATCTGCTATATTTAAATGAGAAGTATTTTATGAACTTTGGGTGATACATTACAGCTTGTTGATCTTCAGATTTTAGTACGATCCGCCAGGATGTCCGACGTTACCGCATCGGCTTGTCGCTATTTGCGATATTTCGGCTGATCCTGGGGGTTCTATTGAGTTCATGACGGAGTGCACCACCATAGACAAGCCGTTTATGATCTACGACGCTGATTTCCATACGAGTAGTGACAGGTATGGCATTTAATCCTTGAACCTTTGTCGAGGTTACAGTATGGAGAAGCTGTTTTGTAGTTTTGACTCGCCATCTGGCTGTCTTGTGTGCAGTATTGACAATATGCCTGCTCAAATGCCTTTAGAGGCCACGTCACAATTCGGTGACTTGTTATGTCCCTATATCATCGATATGGTGAGTTTGTATATATGTATGTATATACACTTAACAACGATAGTGAGATATTCGCGAAACCTGGACCCCGGGCCAGACCGAACCACGATTACCCCTTCCTGGTGCTCGCGTGTAACACACTGCACCACGGAGACCCTCGCTTTGCATTTTTCTCAGCTGATTTTCTATCTGTTGCTGCCATCAGCAATCACCCGTCAGCAGGATTGATTCTGGAAGCGCAAATCGGTATTGAATCTAGTTAAACTGAGGCTGTAGTCGAAATCACAGTGTTGACTTATTGTCTTCTCCCTACTAATTTTTGGCAACAGGGTATGATGTGAGATACAACCAGAACAATGCTGAGATATCCGCAAGACTTGGATCCAGGACCAGACTGAACCACGATTACCCTTTCCTGGGGACTCGCGTATTACACATTGCACCACGGAGGCCCTTGCTTTGCGTTTCTTTCTCAGCTAGATTCCTACCTATCGCTATATACCGATATACACTTAATTGGATGCCTAGGTGGGTAACGCCGGCCGCAGCACGTCCTCCACAAATAACTTTCCCACGCATACTGTGGTCTTCTCCGAACGTAATGACGTCCATGAGGCACATTCTATCGTGTATTACTCGTTTTGGTCTGCAAATGCAGATGTACCTGTGCCATGAACACGGCCACTCATAGTTGTAGATGGCTGTCCGAGAGAACGCTTGGATCTTCTTGAAATGTACTCCGGCGTTATTTTCGTCCATCTGTGATCTGTCATTCTTTTTATTTTATGTTACCGGCCCATTTTGTTTCGTTATTGATTTATGCTCTGGACCTCGAATATGGGATAGGTTTCGTAGATCTGAGCTGCGCATTCAGACTGGAAATTGAGTGTTACGGTTAAATCTTGTACGGTACCGTCTGAGCACTCTATGGAGAGTGCGCAGAATTCTTCACATGATTGACGTATAGCTTACATCTGTTCTACATAACAGAGCTCTGGGAGGAATAATGAGTTGAAAAGTGAGCACGGAGTTTCGTGTCCAGTAGTTTGTCAGTGGCTTCTTTGAGAGGTCAAATGAGGGCAGTGCTGTTCACCTTCTTGTGTTTAACCTTACCTTCATGTTGTCCTCCATGTATACTGAACGCCCAACGTACACAAATGGGGTGCTTATAATCAGAGACACATCCAGTTAGATTTCTTCACCTTTGCAATAAAGCTTCTCCACGAACAGGATCTTCGTGCTATTTATGTGCAGTCCTATCTTTGTCCCAGTTTCGTTGAGCTTATTTATCATCGTCTCAGCGTCACCTTCACGATAAAATGACTACGACGTTAGCAAAAGGAAGGTTTGGTAGGAATTTGCCATCAGTGACCATTCCGTTCTTATCCCAATCTACAATGCACCAGTGAACTGCTTTGGCGAGAAGGAATCGACTTGACAAACCCTTTTACTTATGGTAATGCTAACGGGTCGGTGCTGAAACAGCATTTTTGTACTGTATTACGATGACACTCAATTAAAATTCTTGCAGAGGATGAGTCACTGTTGAGTCGGCGGACACTGATAGGATTGCATTCGCTATAACGCCGTCAAACTTGTTCGAAGTCGATGAAGGTTAAGACAAAAAGTAGATGGTATCCCCGACAAATTCCTGCAATCCGTGACTCGGAGTCCTTCTCGCTTAACTAGCTCTATCTCATCCAGAGCCTTTGAACTGCGTGACTGGAGAACCTTCGTGAACAAATTGTGGACCACGTTTAGCAAGCTCATCGGACGATAGTTCCGAAGATCAGCTAGGCAGACCGTGCTACATGTATTTCACTAACACATGGATTGCATGAAGTGCATCAGATTTATGGCTTTCAGTTCGATGAAAATCAGTTGTAATCTTTGTGATTTATATCGCAGCTCGAACTATAGAGAGAAAAATCTCAGGCGGTTGTATTCCGCTGAGGTGGGGATTTTGGAACGGTTGAGGTTTCCAATGAAGTTTACCATATGTGCTAGTAGTCTCATCTTCGTATACCAAAGCTGACAACAGAGCATTGCAGTCGCTTAGGTGCCAAGGGCGGTTATTCAGACTGCTTCGTTTTTCAGATGTTTCTTATGGGAAATATGTGTATAGTGCATATTTATATCATGCCTGTATACTTGCAATTGATGTATTACGGGTTCACATATACATGAGTACATATGTATATATATATACATATATATATTTACATATATACATATATATACATATAGATTTACACATATACATATGTGTATATATGTATTTTCGTTTTTATTTTATGAGCCGTCTTCACGTCTACTATGCGGATCCCACCACTTCTCGCATTCGATTCGTTTCTTCGCAACCACTATCCACGAAAATCTTCCAACATTTACGTGCGGTTTCGGCTGCTGCTCGAGAACTTTCATTTCATCTCGAATGTTGTAGAATGCTGGTCGATTCGATTCTCGCGGAATTCCTAAGATAGTCGGGCTGGAACGTTCCCAATTTGACTGCAGAGAGTGGTTTTTTCCTGGAGAAGTCCTGTACCAATTTCCCGACTCTAGAGGGATGAGAGGCTTGGTTGCGCCTGAAGGGAATCGAACTAGCATCTTGCTCGTGATGATCGACGTTATTAACACTGCTATCCGCCACCTATATATATATATATATGCATATATATATATATAATCTTAACCTTTTTTAATTTAGTGCCTATTATTTTTAATAGCAGGGTATGTTGCGAAATATAACTTCTACAATGCTGAGATATTTGTAAAACACCGGACCGCAGGGGTCTGGGGTGGGGAACGAACGCGCTGTTGTCCTTTCCGGGGAGTAACGCGTTCACCACCACACCATGCGGGTCCTTCGTTTCACCTGTCACTCAGCTACTTCTATGGATCTTTTTGCCATCAGCAATCGCCCATCAACAGGATTGACAGGCGAAACGAAGGACCCGCATGGTTTGGTGGTGAACACGTTGTTCCGGAAAGGACAACAGCGCGTTCGTTCTCTACCGCAGACATCTGCGGTCCAAAGTTTTGCAAATATCTTAGCATTATAGTAGTTATATTTCGCAAAATACCTTGCTGTTAAAAAGAATAGGCAATAAATAAAAAGTTTAAGACAAATGTGGTTGTTTGAAAAAGAAATCCATAGGAAAACCTTAGCCCGCGTGGCGTTTAAAGTCTATTTTACAATTTTAAGAAAAATGCACTGTGGTGATGCGTGAGGAACATTTGTACAAAGAAGGCAACTGCGTAGGAGCATGCATTCAAAAATGTGTTTTGGCGAAACGAGTTATTTGCAGCTGAACTGCTCTACTGACCAATCATTTCAACACTTATCTTGTCGACCGGAGGTGAAGCGTGCTATAATCACCGACAACGGCAAATTAACGAAAAATTACGAGTACATTGCCGATCTTCGGAAGGCAAGAACTGTGTAGGTTGACTAGATTTTTAGTGGTTACTGAATGGATTCCAAAGCATTAGCTCATCCTTAACGTGTCGTTTGTAAAGTGAAGATTTGTTCGTGTCATGTTTTATTCTACTGTGACGATATCTCGCTGTCTGCTATGTTGAATACCCGACGCTTAATTTGGCGAAGTGAACTTGGTTTAACCCTCCCACCATCTATGAGCAGATAATGAACGATGGTGGTTTTTCGAGAATACATCGTATTTTTTCGATAACTAGAGACTGGAGTTTGGAACTAGACAGATTATGAGAAAGACTTTGCCGCTTTAGATTGTACTCGTTGTCGTGTACTACGTATTACTGTGGTCCACCATCCTACCACATTTCTCTCAGCATTTATTTGGAACTCATACGTTGTCTATTTCTACATTTTTTTTTTTTTACTTTTTGAACCCGCCCATGCATTAAGTAGTCGTTATGCACCATGACCACTGTATGTGGAGTAGCAGTCAACTAGACAAATGTTGACAGTTTAGAGTGGTAATGTTGAGAGATTGGAGTTTCAGCCGTACTTTTGCATGTCATTCTACTGCTACTCGTGTTTTGACGACAGAGAAAGAGAGAGATATTTTTGAAAGGTTGTATGCCAACCGCTCCTTATTTTGCTAGCAATGGAATGGATTACCGATGAAACAAATTGTACAAGATGAGAGCGATAAATGCACATAAAGGGCAGAAGATGATGTTCTCCAGGTTGATCAATTCCTGAGAGATGCAGCATGCATTCGACTTTATTAAGTATAGTTAGAGGTGGTTGAGTGCATATATTACTCATGCGCGTGTAGCGCAGTGGTTGGAGCCGCCACTGCGACGCATGATCCGCGCGCCCATGGCCCACCAAGCCCTCCGGAGTCGGCAAATTGTTACCAGACTTACCTGGGAGGATAGCAGCACTGACTCGATATCGGTAGGCCATCGCAAGTCATTGCAAAGGCCGGATATGCATTCGGTCACCTCCACCGATACTTAATGAAGTCGAATGCATGGCGCATCCTTCAGGGATTGATCAACGTCGAGAGCTTTATCGTTTATTTTCTATTGCTCATGCAATTAGTTGCACTAGGGTGCCAATGTATCCACTCAATGCTGCCATCCTCTCAGATAAGTCTGGTACAAATTTTCCGACCTCAAACGGATACAAAGTTTGGTGTATCCGTGCTGCGGGATCGAACCAGATAGGTATTGGACGGCGCCTCTGATCGCTGCTCTACACGCGTTCCTTAAGTGTACATATCAGCAGACATCGTAGCAGGATATCAGACCTCTGGAATACGTGCACGTTAGCGAATTTTAATACCGCTTAGAGGATGAGTTGCTTTCCGACAGTGTATATCATGTGAGAGATCGGCTGATGAAGAGGAGGCATCTCTTCAACTGTAGATGTTGAACAGTTGTTTCCTGGGCTGAGGACTTAGTGGAAATGACGACAGATTTATTGGTATTGGTAAGAAGAACATAAAAGGACTTTCGAAGCAGGTCATCCACCTGAATCTGAGCAGAGAACAGTGGACCGAACTACAGAGTCGAAGTTTTGAAGTGGAAATATGGGAGGTACATTACCATTGTACCACAGTTAATTTCGGAATTTTTTCGCACAACTTGTAAAAGCCGTAGGTTGTGAAGATTTCCTGCAAGTGAAGTTATCCTTGGAGGGAAACGACTAGGTGACGGTTCTACTTGCAATTCTTCTCCTACATGATATATCAGACTTATCTGCTAGATGCTTGGGAGACCTGTTTTGAATGAGGTCAGTGATCGACTTTATGATGAACGTCTCTTGCGTGGTATTGGAAGCAGCAGTTTTTCCACGCCAGAGATATGTTTTCGTGATGAAACCTGTAGGAGTGGGTCCAAAATATGGAGACGGTGTGTCGGATGTTACAAGATTGTATTAAGGTATTGCATTGGTAAATACTCTACGAAATTTGCTGGGCACATTACCACTAGATGTGGCCGTTGTAAAAACATCGTTTAGAGTGAAGTACGGCCAAAAAGATACTGAGATACGAGACCAATCTCGGAACCTTAGGTGCTAATCGAACACGTGGTTACTCTTTGCCAAAGTTCACGTGTATTCACAGCATCATCTGAAATCTTATCTTTGCCTTTCTCTGAGCCAGTTTTTTTTAACGCTGACGGTGCTATCAGCAATTACCTGTCAACGGGATTGATGTAGAGAGCACAGATTGGCATTGAACCCAATCAAGTTGAAGTTGCATTCGAAATCGCAGCGCTTTAACTTTTACTTATTAACTATTCTTTTTTCATAGTAGGGTATCATGTGGATACTTTGACATGAAAAAAAGAACAGGCACTAAGTAAAAGCTAAAACATTGTTTAGAATGTTTCAATGCTGATAAGAAGAAGTGCAGAATCTTCTAAAAAATGAAGTTCTGTGTTAAAAGAATTGCTTATATGTAGAAGTTGCAGCTTGTATGTAAAGATGCCAATTTTGTGCATAATATTTACATTTCATGTTTCTGTGAATCATAATCTGTGGGTTTAAATCAAATGTTCATGTGTACAGTGTTTAGAAAACTGTAAAAGGTTGTAGCACTCCGACTTTGTAACAGTTTGTGGAGACAAATTGTATTGAAGTACATTAGTGATGTTCACTCTGTGAGCGCAGAGTCACTCTAAAGTTTCCTCAACAGTTCGTTATTTTATCCCAAAGTCTTGGACGTCAATGCAGCAGAGGGGGACGTTCGTTCTCGAAATAATCGCTAATTGTAGAAAACATCCTTTTGTCGACCATTCCTGATGCCATCCATTTTGGATAAGCAGTCAGTTGAATAAAAAAGTGTAGAAGAAGATCGACGTGGAAAGTAAACCACTGAAAACAACATTAGGAGCATTTTATTTCCTCTGTGTACACCCCCCGGCATGCACTGCTCCTGATTTATTTTGAGCGTTATGTGTTAATATTTCAGCAGTAAAATTATGCACTAATTTCGGATTATGCCAAATTATCATTTAAAACGTGTAATTTACTGGTATCATTTTCGCACAAAGCTTCAGTTTAGATCAATTATATGGAAAGGACCAACTGTGATAAGAAAGTATCCAACGTAAGAGCAAAACTTTTTCGTTTTACTCTGCACTCCCACTTCAGCTAGCAGTGGGACGTGTTTTGATCTTTTTTTGGAACCAATGACGTTCTCACATGAAACTCCATTAGTGCCGAACATTGTCGTTCTGTTTTTCATTTTGCATCACTCGTTGTGAATTAATGTGTTGCATGAATCCAGAGAAGAAACAAGCAGGAATACGTGTAACACCCGTTACCTGCAGATGCAGTCTAAATATTAGTTCATCTAAGCACAGAGACGGTAGTTTCCTGTATTAAACCACCCAGCTGCTATTCTTAAATGGAAGTGGATATTATTTTATTTCGCTGTTAACAATTAGAAACTGTTTGACTCTTTCGACATTTCGGTCCTGTTGTCTGTATGAATGTTTGTTTAAGTAGAACTAGTGTATATGTCATTCTAGTTAGGGATATGCGGTAGATACATTGACAGTTCCTCTAATGATGTTCGGAAAATTTTAACGCATATAGTTTAGGCAGGTGCAACAAAATCAAAAAAATCCGCGGGAATAAATTTCCGCTATAACACCATTTTCCCAAGTTCTCGAGCGACACAGCGCTTGAATAATATACCGAAAGTCGATTTATAAATGGGAGGAGGTTAGGAGTCGCCTCTAACAAATTAGCTCCCCAGTCCACTTTGAAAGAGACTGGTAAGCAACCCGTGAGTACATCGCACCTCCACGTTCACACCTCAGTACGTTCTACAGAGCTATCAAACGCTAAACACGGTAAGATAGATTGCCCTCATTCGCCTGTCCACGAATGAGCCAGTGATGGTAGTGTTGGGTTGCACGAGTACGAAGTGGCTGCTAAAATATCAGGGTCGTTCTAGGCTACCTAGATCGCGAAGGACTAAGTTAACCATCTGTGCCCACAATGGACGCTGAATTGCATTTGAGTCCTCGATGGAAGACTTGATCATTCAGGCAAGAAGGATGAAGTCTGACCTCATTGAACTGACTGAAACGAAAGGGCGCCACCCACTTATCACTGTTTGTGATATCTGAGATGAACTGTTCCTCGGAACATACGACAGTAGAGGAGCAGGCGGTGTCGGCGTTCTGCCCAACATCAGTTTCTCATCTACCATCCACTATGCCGTTATTGATAACATCAACGAGGAATACGGTTGTCTCATTCAATATCTTAACGTTAGCGCTGTGAAAGCTGAGTGCTTCGAGAGTCACCAGGAGATGTCTGTCTCCAGAAACGCTCTAACTTGTACGTCATCCTGAAATCGCACGAACTACAAGTAAGGGAGAAGAGTAGCAGTTATGGTCGAAGCTGCAGAGAGTGGAAAAAGCACTCGAAAAACATACCGAAACTTCGTCAATTGCAAAAAGAAAATGATTGAACTCCGACGATCAGATGGAAGGTTACGGCTTCCAGAAAGGCAATGAAGACAATCATTCATGATTACTGCCCAGACCTCTTCAATGGCCACGTCCATATACCCTCATATCAAACAAGGGAGGATGAATATTTCGTCCTAATGGTTGTCCCTTCTAAAAGCTGACATGCTATTTCGTTGGTGAAGAATCGAACAACACGAGCTCGGGATAGGATGAAATCTGAACACCTGAGGAACCTTCCGCCAGTCCTCTTAAAGGCCCTGGCCCTGGGTGTACAACACACGTTACCTGTTAGAATGCGTGGTTCCTAGAATATGGAACACCAGCATAACTGTGTTATTGTTCAAGAACTTTGAGCAAACAAGGTGTCGAGAAGGATTCAGTAGAACGGACCACATCCACACAATAACAAGAATCATTCCAGTATTGCAATAGTACAAAAAACCGCTCTGTCTCATTTTCATCGATTTAAGGAAAGCTTTTGACTCAATTGAAATAGAAGTGGTCATGGTGTTCCTGGACAGACAGGGCGTCCCCACTCACTATAATATAAAAATATGTATATATGTAAAGAATATTCGTGATATAACTTCTATAATGCTGAGATATTTGCAAAACTCTGGACCTCAGGTGTCTGCGGTGGGGAACGAACGCGCTATTGTCCTTTATTATTCGTGAGTTGTGTACAAATTTGACAGCCAAAATATCAGTGTTCTGCATTTATATTAACATCTACGTAAAAAGACGCATTTAACAAGGCCTTAGCATCTCGCGAAAATTATTTACCGCTACTCTCAAGAATGTCATTAGAACATTGTAATGAGACAAAATGGGAGTGAAAATCGATGGATGACAATTACACCATCTTCGCTTTGCTACTGACATCGTTCTTATAACAGCGAGCATAACCCAACCAAGCGGAACGAACGCTCACTCTGATAACGCTTGTGGAAAGATGGTTTGTTGACTAATTATCAGAAAAGAAACGAATTCACGCTCTAAGGTACGATTATTTCCGACTGCTCCAGATACATCTGTATAGGTCGAGGAATCAACATGATAAGCGTCTCACCCATAGAGTTGAGCGGTAGGAAGCGAGTAGCTTGGGGAACTTTCAAGAGGTTAAGGATGTAGTGGAGAGAACACAGAACACCCGACTCCATGCCTACTTTTTAATTCCACGATTCTCCTCACACTGACGTGTACGTCAGAAATTTGGTTACTGCGTAAAAAGGATTAAGTACCACTCAGTATTATTAAACGCGTAGTCGAACAGGTAATGCTGGGAACATTCCGTGTCGTGCAAGTGAGAGGAGAAATCCGAAACTCAGAACTAATTCAACGATCACGGGTCAATGACGACGTTCTTTACGCCAAACTATCGAAAATAAGGTGGGTCGAGCACATAATGCGTATGAACGACAACCGATGGACAACGACTATAAGTGACTGGATTCCTCGAGATTTCAAACGTGCTGTGGGAATGCCACTGATCCGATGATCAGATTTCTTCACAAAACCCTAGAAGAAAAATATGTTGCTCAGCAAATCCTTAGAGCGAGCAGAACCCACTGCGCTACTCTTGCTTTCTATAGGGATAAATATAAAATTTACTGGCCTTGGATCGAGTCGTTCGACAATCAGCAAGTGGGTTAGTGGTACAAGTGAGGTCCATTTGCACGAAATATTCAGCTTTCTCTTCAACACATTTGCGGTAATGCTTAATTATGCCCGCTTACGTATCCGTAAATATTCCCGCCTTCTAACTCGAAAGACCGACCTTCTGTAAACCTCGGCATAGATAGTTGATATATCTATTTATATGATCTTATAAACTGATCTTCTTAAGCTGACGCGAGGTTGGTACAGATCTTCGTTGTCGTTGTTTTTGATGTTATTGATCGATGGCTGACGTTTCGGCGACTTCGTCTTCCGCAGAGTGCTGCAGTCCCGCACGTAACATCACGGCTCTGAGGAAGGTGAAGTCGCCTAAACGTCAACCATCGATCAATAACATCAAAAACAACGACAACGAAGATCTGTGCCAACCTCGCGTCAGCTTAGGAAGATCAGTTTCCGCCTTCTAATTTCGTGCACAGGTGCTCATAGTGAGCTTCATTAATTGAAATAAAAATTATTACAATCTACAGATATTTATAAAATGTGAAGTTTGTTTCTGTTACACATTTTCATCGTCGTATGTTCTGTGCTATTTTTTTTTGTCATACTTATCTGGAAATGGGGAACGATTGTTCAAGAAGGCGAGATTTCTTCCATCGGGATGCGATTGGTCTCTTAAGAATATGTTTGCGGCAGACGCACTTCGATTAATGATTTTAAAAATTCAAAATATCTGATTTCCTAAGGTGTTAATTTCTAAACAAGTTTATGACAGAAAGAAATCCTAAAAAATGTATGTTATTGGTGTCATAAATGACAATACTCTATAAGTATGTTTTCGAGCTTAAAAACACGCCAGGGCTGACGAAAATTCTGCGCTAGTCTACTTGACAGCAAAAAAAAGCGGGAATTGAGCGTCGCGGAGTACGTTCTATCCATAAGTAATAACCTTTGACCTATTTCCTAAGCTTTTTTATTTTTATCTGTGTTTTTTTATTTTTAGTAGTATTTGGAATGACCATTACCTTTTACGAAGAGTTTGACACACTCCATCCCTTGTTCAAACTTTTTAGTATAAAGTATAATGTTTTGATTTGTCTTGAACCTCTATAATGACGTAGTCCACACAGTTTAAAACTAACATGCCTAAAGATATATTACAGGGTCTCTTCACATAAATCTCAGATGATGGGGGTTGACGATAAGAAAGTACTTCTTCTTGGAGCAGGATTGGTCAGTGGACCATTTGTTGACTTTTATTCTAAGCAATCGAAGGTTAGTGTTTGAAAACCTGTTATTTATTTACTCGTAAAACCTAGTTAACGTTTGCATTTACAGGTGCAGGTAACAGTAGCCACAGAGTCACGAGAGGACGCTCATCGTTTGGTAAAAAGGGGTAATATTACACCTTTCGTAATTGATGTCAAAAGGGAGTCTGATATGTTGGACCAACTCATCAGGTGGATATCTGTGTTCACTTTTCTGATACTTTGTCAGCATTAGGGCTTTGTCATACGTTATATGAATTCGTCGTTTTCTTTCTCAGCAATTGCCAGGTTGTTAAACAGCATAGGTTTTTTTCCATACAACAACACATACACAACTGTAGCTGACGTTTCGGCAGAATCACCTTCTTCAGAGCCTGGAAGGGTACATTGATACGCAACTTACAAGGTCAAACGCTTCAATAACATAAACAGGAGGATGGAAATCTGCATGACAATTACAAGATCTACGGTTTTTCGAAAAAACTCACCGCTTTTTCCACCTGTCCCCCACCAAGGAAGAATAGCCGCTCAGAGTCGCATATGGTTGACGACTGCACCACCCCACATCAACGATCGATACGAAGGTACGGGCGAGATCACGTGTGATCTCGGGGCATTCCTCTCTGCTATTCATTGTAGGATTTTTGGCATTGATCCAAAAAGCCCCGAGGAGTTTGCGCGTTGATGTTTTAGGATCCTGTGCGAGGATAGTTGGTCTTATGTCAAAATCGTCTCCGCTATTCTTTTGTATCCTATGCATGCCTAGTGGGATACTTTGTCTTAGTTTTCGTTTGCCATCTAGGTGTTCTTTTATGCAGATACACAAAAGTTTGCCCGTTTCGCCAATATATTCATCTCCGCAATTATTACAAGAGATCAGATATATCGTACCTGAGCTCATGCAATCACCGTCCCTGCCGTAAGGGCAAATTACGCAATTTTGTGTTTCACACAGGCGGTTACGAACTAGTTGACGACGAAGAGTATTTGGTGGTATTTCAGTTATCGCTACCGATTCCTCTTGACCTGCCCTTCTTAAGCATCGTTTTATAGCTACGCTTACTTCATCGCTAATGAAGGGCAAGATAGACGGGACTTTGTTTCGGCCAGACCGTTCGTTTTGGAGCGTCGCTTTCCTTCGAAACTTATCTTATAGGGTTACAATTTCTTAGCCATTGGAGATGGCTATTTGCCGAACCAAGTCGCGCGATTCTTCCTTTAGTTCCCTACTTGTGGACACAAAGGTGGCTGTCTGAAGCATGTTTCTCACAGGAGCCTTCTTTTTATGTGAAGGCTGGAAAGAAAGGGAATGAACCAGGGTGTTTTTGTTACTTGGTTTTCATTACCACTTTGTCATATAGCCGTTACTTCATAAGTTAATTTGAACGTTTGGAAACGGGAACCAGTCGTCTTTCGGTTTCTTCCGGGTGAACTTGATGTACTATGACTGCTCCTTCAATAATTCAAAGCATTTGTCCATGTCTTCCTGTGTAGAGAAGACGACAAAACAGTCAACTATATACCTGCAGTAGAGTAGCGGCTGGAAACAGAGAATGGTGCTTCTATTTTAGACATGAATGCACTGGCGAGAGTTAGTGCCAACCGCTGTCCCATTGCCAGCCCTCCAATTTGTGCGTAATAATTTCGAGACCATCTGAAAATCGAGCAGTTCAGGCACTCTTTTAGGTGAACCATAAGCTGCTGAGTACAAGCCATGCATATGTATTCCTCTTTCATGTTCAACAAGAAGTTCGTGAATGGTTTGCATTGCGGAGTCATTCGATACGTTGGTGTAGAGCGCAGTAACGTCGAACGACTCCATCACGTACGCGTTATTAGGAGCGTAACGTAGACGTTCTAGGAACATTTGAGTGTTGGTGAGGTGGGCTGGAATGTGGTTAAGCAGCTGGGTAAGTATTAGGTTTAAAAACCAGGTTATTCTATCCATTGGCCTGTCTACACAGCTGATGATGGGTGTAACCTTGAATGGTGATGGATTGATGATACCAACTTAAGTATTTTAATAAGTAGGTATAAGACGGGACATGTTGGTTTATTGATTTTAAGGTGCGAAATAACCAAATAGCTAAACAATCATTGGGTCAGTGTGACAAAGGCTGCAGGATTACAACCATCGGTTATTTCGCACCTTAGAATCAATAGACCAACATGTCCCGTCTTATACCTACTTATTAAAACGCATAAGTTGGTATCATCTGATGATCTTGCGTCAACCAATCCGTTATCATTCAAGGTTAAACCCATCACCAGCTGTGTAGACGGGCCAACGGATAGAGTCACCTGGTTTTTAAGCCTAATACTTACCCAGTTGCTTAACCACATTCCAGTTCACCTCACAAACACCCAGATGTTCCTAGAACGTCTACGTAACGCGTATGTGATGGAGTCTTTCGACGTTAACGCGCTTTACACCAGCGTATGGAATGTCTCCGCAGTGCAAGCCATCCACGAGGTACTTGTTAAACATGAAGGAGGAATACACATGCATGGCTTGTCTATTTAGCAGGTTATGGTCCTCCTGAAAGAGTACCTGAACTGCTCGATTTTCAGATGGTCTCGAAATTATTACGCACAAATTGGAGGGCTGGCAATGGGACAGCGGTTGGTACCAACTCTCGCCATTGCATTCATGTCTAAAATAGAAGCACCGTTCTCTGTTTCCGGCCGCTACTCTACTGCAGGCATATAGTTGACTGTTTTGTCGTCTTCTCTACACAGGAAGACATGGACAAATGCTTTGAATTATTGAAGGAGCAGTCATAGTACATCAAGTTCACCCGGAAGAAACCGAAAGACGACTGGTTCCCATTTCCAAACGTTCAAATTAACCTATGAAGTAACGGCTATATGACAAAGTGGTAATGAAAACCAAGTAACAAAAACACCCTGGTTCATTCCCTTTCTTTCCAGCCTTCACATAAAAAGAAGGCTCCTGTGAGAAACATGCTTCAGACAGTCACCTTTGTGTCCACAAGTAGGGAACTAAAGGAAGAATCGCGCGACTTGGTTCGGCAAATAGCCATCTCCAGTGGCTACGAAATGGTAACCCGACGAGATACGTTTAAAAGGAGAGCGACGCCCCAAGACCAAGCACTTGGTCAAAGGAAAACCCTGTTTATGCTGCCGTTTATTAGTGATGAAGTAAGTATAGCTATAAAACGGTGCTTAAGAAGGACAGTCTAGAGGAATCGGTTGCGATAGTAGAAATACCACCGGCAACTCTACATCGTCAGTTAGTTCGTAACCGCCGATATAACCGTCTATGTAAAACACAAAATTGCGTAATCTGCCCTTATGGTAGGGACGGTGACTGCGTGAGTTCAGGTATACCTGATCTCTTGTAATAATTGCGGAGATGAATATATTGGAGAAACAGGCAGGCCCTTATGTATCTGCATAAAAGAACACCTAGACGGCAAACAAAAACTAAGACAAAGTACCCCACTAGAGACGCATAGAATACAAAAGCATAGCGGAGACGATTTTGAAGTAAAAGTCAATATCCTCGCACAGGAGACTAAAACACCAGCGCGAAAACTTCTTGAGGCTTTTTGGATAAATGCCAAAAGTCCTACAATGAATAGCAGAGAGGAATGCCCCGAGATCACGCGTGATCTCACCACTTACATTCGTATCGATCCTTGATGGGGTGGTGCAGTCGTCAACCATATGCGACTTTGAGCGGCTATTCTTCCTCGGTGGAAGACAGGTGGAAAAATCGGTGGGGTTTTTCGAGATGTTGCCCATGTGACTACCATTTAGAGTCTCATCTTTCTGTATGTGTGATCGAAGAGTTTGACCTAGTATGTTGCGTATCAGTGTACCCTTCCAGGCTCTGAAGAAGGAGATTCTGCCGAAACGTCAGCTACGATTGTGTTGTATGTGTGTTATTGTGTGGAAGTAAACGTATGCTGTTTAACAACTTCGCTATTGCGGAGAGGGAAAACGACAATTTCATAATCCTATGCCGAGGTTAATAGAAAGTCGATCCTGGGTACTAATACGTTGTATGGTTGATAAGTTTTAAATAGATGTAGTTTGCACGGAGTGTCCGTCAAATTGATTACTGAGTTGGTTTAGAGAAGTTACAAAGCCGATGTGAAAGCCAGAAACGGTTAAATCGGTAACGTAACCAATATATCGATCTTTTACTTACGATTTTTTATAGAGATCATGATCAAGTGGTTTCTTTACTGCCTTTTTCTTTCCACCCATTGGTCGCCAAATTATGTATAAAGAACAAGACAAACATGGTTACGAGTAGCTACGTTTCACCGGAGCTTGAAGCATTAGATCAGCCGTGAGTTTTCAACTTTTACCCTGCTTATGAATTTTGAAATACGATTTTTTGAACTTCATTAGTGCACTATAATGAGAACGAAAGTGCCTTTTTTGATTAGTTGTTTGGCCTGTTATGTTGCTCTAGTGTTTTCCTACGTAAACTTATTTTGTAATGAACTTCATAAGATGCTTAGTAATATCGCTTCAGTGCCAAAGATGCAGGTGTTACTATTATGAATGAGTCTGGTTTGGATCCTGGAATTGATCATATGCTTGCAATGGAATGTATCGATGAAGTCGCAAAGCATGGCGGAAAGGTTGAGTTTATTTACTAGTTTTGTCCCAATGTTCCTCATGTATCTTCTTTAGGTCACTTCATTCATTTCTTTCTGTGGTGGTCTCCCTGCTCCTGAATCATCGGACAATCCCCTGCGATATAAATTTAGTTGGAGTCCAAAGGGAGTACTGACTGCTCTTTTGAATCCAGCTAAATATCTTCAAGATGGGAAAGTAAGCGTCGATCCGAACGTTGGTTTTCGTTTATTATGCAATTAGCAATCGTTTAGGAAGTAGAGATCGCATCTGGAAAAGTTCTTGACCATCTTTACCCCATAGATTTCTTGCCCGGATTCAACCTTATTGGCTACGCCAATCGAGATTCGGTCAAATATGGTGGCATTTATGGAATAATTCCGGGATGCCGAACACTGGTTCGTGGTACTCTTCGGTACAAGGTATGTTCTCAATATTCCATTACAGTTCCAGAGTGAAATATTTGACCTGAGTTCCGCAATATTTGTTGTGCTCAGGGCTTTGTGGAAGCAGTGAAGGCTCTGAACGCTGTCGGTCTTCTAAATACTCAACCGCAAGAAGTTTTTAATCCTGTTTCTGGTCCTGATCTTACATGGGTTGGTCTTTTACCTATGGAAAGTTCTTTTTAGTCTTTGCATGTCGGTAAAATTGACTTTGGTCACCTGAATCTAGAGCAGTCGCTTGAATAATGTCTTGAAGAACTCCCACGACCGACTTTCTATTAACCTCGGCATTGATCAAGTAATTCTTCGTATTTTTGTTGAGCAAACGCGAGGTGTTATTATTCTTTATTCACGAATGAGCTGACGTTTCGGCGGATTTCGCCTTCCTCAGAGCCTGGAAAGGTCAAGTTGACAGCAATTTACTTGGCCAGACGCCTCTATAACCAAACAAAGAAACTCTAAACCAAGATTTTAATCACATTGAACACAGCTTTGCACACTCACCGCTTTCTATGAGGTCTCCACTAAGTATGTCACGTAGAGACCAACCGCACAGAAATCACATGGAAGTATAATGTGCCCCACTCATCAAAATAGCAGTCTTATATACTGCCCTACATCACGCGTGATAATGAGGCATTCTTCCCTGCGGTTCATTTTCGGATTTCTGGAATTAATCCAGAGTGCCTCGAGAGTTTTTCGCGCCTGTGTTCTTGATTCGCATGCAAGGATCGTGACACATAAGACGTGCGGTGACGAATACATTGGCGAAACGGGCAGACCCCTCTGTGTCCGCATAAAAGAGCATAAAAGAACACCTAGCTGGCAAACATAGACCAAATACTCCGCTAGGCACGCATAGGACCCAGAGACATAACGGGGAGGACTTTGAAGTATGTGCCACGATCCTTGCACGCGAATCAAGAACACAGGCGCGAAAAACTCTCGAGGCACTCTGGATTAATTCCAGAAATCCGAAAATGAACCGCAGGGAAGAATGCCTCATTATCACGCGTGATGTAGGGCAGTATATAAGACTGCTATTTTGATGAGTGGGGCACATTATATTTCCATGTGATTTCTGTGCGGTTGGTCTCTACGTGACATACTTAGTGGAGACCTCATAGAAAGCGGTGAGTGTGCAAAGCTGTGTTCAATGTGATTAAAATCTTGGTTTAGAGTTTCTTTGTTTGGTTATAGAGGCGTCTGGCCAAGTAAATTGCTGTCAACTTGACCTTTCCAGGCTCTGAGGAAGGCGAAATCCGCCGAAACGTCAGCTCATTCGTGAATAAAGAATAATAACACCTCGCCTTTGCTCAACAAAAATACGAAGAATGTCTTGAAGATCTGTAGACATCACAAGAATTATTGTCATTTTGAAAAAATCTTAGTCGCAAGAGAGATCTTTCTACACTTTTTTATAATGAAGAAAATGCTGTGAATCATCCCAACGGTTTATCGCCTCATTGTGGCTGGGATTTGTTTCTGGGTGTCAGGCTGTGATGTACAGCGGTGAGATTCATCTCCTGGCAGGGTATCCCAGGCTGAGAAGGAATCCGACGTTTCCACCAAGGAGCCTAGGCAAGAGTAAAGCAACACCAGGATGCATCAACGTCCTGGTATCAAAATGGTCGCGTGGAGGCAAATCTCCCTCTAACCCACAAGGGCGTCGACTGCCTGTGGTGGTGACGACATGAGGCAGACTTTGGCCAAGCTGACCTCGGGACTCCAGGTAAACAGCATGGCTAAGCCAGCAAAACTCCAAAAGTTGGAGATTATGCCTAGCCCACACAACCAGTGAGGACAGGCCGGCCAAGTATCCAATATGAACACTAGCAAGCCTATCTCGGGATTCGAGTGGAAATCATTTTCAACTTTCATTATTATCAATTAGTGGAGATTATAACAGAACCTCAAGTTGTCTCTAATTCCACGCCTGTAAATCGCAGTAACAAGATAAGTAAGAGCATGGCAGAAGTGTGGAACACACGGATCATTTGAGAACGAGTCATCAAATTACCTAACGTAAATTTACCACTCCATTTCCGATTTTGAAGTGATGTAAGACGTAAACACTACATTGTTGTTGTTTACTTGCCATAAAATAGTTATTTTATATTTAGAAACAACTAATGGCATCCCTGCTTAATCAGAAGCTGGATATTTTTCCCGATTCATTGTGCAACGTTGCCACTGAACGCGTTGGTGGAACGAATCCAATAGGAGTTAAAGCTTTATGTGACTTGGGATTGTTTAGCGATGTAGTTCCGGATAGGCATGGGTGTGCATTGGACACTTTAGCGGCTTACCTAGCAAAGGTAAGGTTTCAGTTGGATTTTAGCGCTTTTAACTAGTGGTTTTATCAAGCATCAGTTTATCAGTTTCGTGTTTATTCAGATTCTTGCCTTCAAGGACAATGAGAGAGATATCGTTATTTTGAATCATGATATTGGAGTTCAACTACAAAGTGAGTATACTGATCGCTTTATTTCTTTTTTGTGTTATGACATCATAGTTTCTACGGATGGCAGCACTTCTTGCATTCGATTAGTAAACCTGTGGTTATGTGTTCCAGCTCTTAGGTGGATGTACAAACCGCTTAACTCTTAGAGTTGCATATCTTGTTTTTTATCTCCTAGTAGGAGCTCTTAAATCAGATCCATATCGTTATGCCTGTGAATGTTATTTTTCGTGATAATTAGTGTGTCTGATTTATCTTGAAATTTATCTGACTAGTCCAGGGATTTTATTGTGTGGATTTTTTACATGTACCGTACTTCTGAGTCATATGCCTACTGTTTAGGTGGTAACAAAGAACGTCACCGAATTAGCTTGGTAGCTTATGGTGAACCAAAAGGATTTTCAGCTATGTCTCGTACAGTTGGATATACTTGTGCTATCGTATCAAATATGGTTTTACAAGGTTTGTTTAGAAACATTTCTACGGATGTTTTTAGAAACAGTAAGTATTACTAGGCTGAGTAAATATTGCTGGCTGAGTAATAGAGTTTCTTTCCTCCAATATTAGTCTAGAACAATAAACCGTAGAAATGATAATCTGCTGTTCAACCGGTCTGTCGTGGTTTTCAGGAGAAATTCAACGACCTGGAATCTTACGACCGGTCAGTAAAGAGATTTATCGCCCAGCGTTAAAGCGCCTAACCGACTACGGTATTGTTGCCACAAAAGAGGTCACGCCAATCCCTTGACTGAGCTATGTCTCGTACAGTTCTTCATTCGTTGGCACATTGCTGCTTGCAAGTGTTAGGATTTATCTAGAGTGATACTAAAGTGTACTTAGTTTTTTGTAGAATGTTAAACTGCTAGCCGTAGTTCGTGATGCATACTTTGGTGAACTTTCCGGTAACTCTTTATTTTACACCATAGATATAGTCGTTTCGCAATTTCGTAGCAATTTAAGGTGGTTTATTAATTCCGCAAATGTGCTAACGTCTAGTTGAAGTTTTGGAATAAATTTTCTGTACTTGTACTCGGATTCAATTAATTTGGGATACTTTTATGCAATCTAATGAAGTATTTCGTGTTTGTATTGTATGGTAATGTCTAATATGAGTATAATAAATAATAAGATATATTTGTATTGTTAATAGTCTCTTTGAAATTTTTTTGTAATAAAGGACAAAAAAGGATAAAGCTATCGGCGTTGATCAGTTCGTGAGGAACATTGGACTTTATTAGGCATCGTTGGAGGTGAATGAATGCAAATCTGACCTTTTAATGGCTCACGGTGGCCTTCCGAGATATTGAGCCAGCTATGCTCCCAGACAAGTCTGGTACCAATTTGCCGACCCCAGAGAGATGAAGGGCATGACGAGCCACAGGTGCGGGGATCGTTCCTGTGTGTATGTCGCAAGGCGCCTCCGACCGCTGCGCCACACGCTTTTTTCCTGTAATGTACTACCGAAGATACAGCCCTTGAAATAACAGCTTCAGATAATCGGTGAATCGAATGGGTCTTTATATCCTAATATTTATTTGTTAAAAAACCTATGAATCATTCATATTCAAAATGGTATTGGTCTGGTATATTCGCAAGAACCCCTGGTTTCGTGTAAGATATGGCCTTGCTGGTTTTTTGACAGTGCGACAATTTTGCTAGGGCTGGAGAATATGAGGGGTAGAGAACATGACAGGAGTGTAGGAGAGACTTTGGTATACTCTTTCATGCGTATGAAATGCATGCTGTTATTTGCTGTACCTCCCGCCTCATCGCGGCTGGAGGTGTACCTGGATGTCGGACTGCGATGTACAGCGGGAGATTCATCTCCTTGGCAGGGTCTCCTAAGCTGGAGAGTCGGCGTTTCCATCAGGAAGCCTAGCTAAGAGTAAACCAATACCAGGATCCACCACCGTCCTGGTATCACAGTCGCTCGGTGACAAATTTCCCTCTGATCCACAAGGGCTGCGACTGCCTGTGGTGATGAAGACCTGGGGCAAACATTGGCCAAGCTAACCTCGGGACTGCATGGAATTACAATGGCTAAAACCAGTAAATCTCTGAAAAAGTGGCGGCTATACTGGGGTCCGCACAAACAGTGAGGACGGACCATTCATGTATCAAGTATCAAGTGTTTATTGTATGTTACTATGGTCCATCGTGCAAACGCGCTGCTGCTGGCATGTGGAAGCGTTTTGCAGCATATGTTCAATCAACCCTGGTATTTTTGATACTGGCACATTCCATGTAATAACCGTGAATCGGTCATGACTAAAATGTAGGAGCAATTAGTTGTTAGTCAATTAACCTTTCACTTTTTACCTACTATAATTTTGCACGGCAGGTTGTGATGGAGAAATATAACTACAGCGATGCCGAGATATTCGCAAAACTTGGAAGACCCTTGCTTTGCGTTTCCCTCGGCTAGTTTTCAACCTAACGCTGCCATCAGCAATCACCATTCCGCTTGATTGATCTGGGAAGCACAAATCGGCATTGAACGCGCAGCTGAGCTGAGGCTGTAGTCGAAATCACAGTGTTAACCTTTTACTTGTTCTTTTATCGATTTATGCCGGGGTCGAAGTTTTGCGAATATCTCAGCATCGTCGTGGTTGTTAGTGCAATTATAGGTCATTGAACTTTTTCCGGTAGAGGTGTTTTTGTAAACAATTAGATATAGAGAATGGATTCTCTTTTCTCACCTTTCCTATTTTGATTTACTTTCGATTAGCTACTGGATCAATAAATACAGTGTGACAAAAAAATTTTGTAGCCTACTGAACTGCAAGTGCATACTATGGGGTTCATAATGTCCTGAGTGGGTTGAATAACACAGCTCTGAAAGATAAGAACGGTGTTGTTCACTGTAGAAGTGGACTAATCACATATCTGGCTTCTGAAGAAGAAACTAGAGTTCTTTCCTTTGAGGAGAGCAGGTTTTGTCGACTACTCGGTATCGCTTCCTGCTGGCTTTGCGTCCGTCGTTCCTTGTAGTTTACAAACGCCTGCTTGAGAGAGCAGCTTGGTGAGGTTATCGATTTGCTCGCTGTAAGTCTGCGATCGCTCCGAAGGTTCTTGTCCTGCCGTTAAATGCGCACTTTATTCATTGGCTTACTCCCTCCACATAAGACTATGTAATACATAAACGGTTTCAAAAATCTAGAATGCTCTTTGTTTGCCATATTCTTGTCGCTTACAAGGCTTGGAATCGCCAGTGTGCATTGCATCTTAATAGTTGTAGTGCCATTTAATAGCCCTTCTCCACATTAAAACTCCTTCAGAATCTCATTCGTATCGATCTCATTTGTCTGCGATCGCTCCGAAGGTTTTTGACCTGCCGCTGAATGTGCACTTTATTCGTTAGATTGCTCTACATCAGTACTAGGGCACGTGTGGCGCAGTGGTCGGAGGCGCCCTGCAACACACACGTGGAATTGATCCTCACGTGCATGGCCCACCAGGCCTTATATCCCTCCGGGGTCGGCAAATTGTTACCACACTTGTCTGGGAGAATAGCAGCACTGGCTCGATACATCGATAGGTCACCGCGAGTCATTTTAAAGGCCAGGTATGCATTCAATCACCTCCAAACGATGCGCAGTGAAATCGAATGCATGGCGCTTCCCTCAGGGATTGATCAACGCCGAGGGCTTTGTCCTTTTCTTATTTTTTACATCAGTATTATTGATGAAATCTTGCAGGAATTTAGAATGCTTCTTGTTTGTCATATTCTTGTCGTTTACAACAGCTTGGAATGGCCAGTGTGCACTGCGTGTTAGAAGTTCTAGTGGTATTTAATAGCCTTTCTCCACATTGAAAACTGCTTCAGAATCTCTTTCGCATAGATTTGAACGTTGATAATATTTGTCTAAGGATTGCTTGAGAAACTGAGTGTGATTGCTGTGCCACAACTTATGTGAACTCGAAGGATTTTACTTTTCACACGCATGCAATACAAATTATCTGATTTAGATCTTCTTGAATTTGATTTCTAAAACAACTGTCGTTCGCCCAAACGTCACCGTAAGGTACTCAATCTTTTCTAGGCAATTCCTTTATGTGGTACAGAGAGGGTCCCACTTGCCCCCACTTGCTATTCATAAGTTTGCCCGTCCCCAAGGCATTGTTCTGCAAGCTAACCATAGGTGTATGTCTCCAAAAGAGCAAAAAAAAAGTAGGCTCGATTGACATAACCTCAAAGGACCCGGTAATAAAACAGGGTCGCGTAACATAAATAACAACTTGTTCACGTGGATACTTGGTTGAGCCATCCTCATTGGTCGTTCAGGCCCCAGCATAATTTCGTTTGGTTTCACCCTCGCTCAATTATTGTCCATGGTGATGATCTGCTTCGAATATGGTGACGTTCATTAGGCCTATTCCGAATTCCTAAAATTGTTTCAATCTGCGAATACAGATAGTAAAAGTTAGTCACGAACACGTCCATCCATCGTTTGAATGGCCGTCCAAGAGGAGGAGGTTTGCATTCTGTTGAAGGTCACTCCACTGTTGTCTTCGTTGTGTCATCTGTTATTCTTACAATGTGGCCGTCCTATCTGTTTTTCGTCATCGATGTATATTCTTCAGGATTCCGAAAATGGAATTGGTTTCGAATATCTGAGCTTCGCATTCCAGATAGACCTCGTTAGTGTGGATTAGACTTGAGAAAACATCGTTCAAGCGCTCTATGGGTGCGCAGATTTCTTAACGCGGTTGAAGTATCGGCCAACGTCTCTGTTGCATAACAGAGCGTTAGGAATACTACTTTTTATTTGCTGTCTACTACAATTTTTCACGGTAGGAATTTTTCAGGCGAAATACAACCACAGCGATAATCGCACTGATCGATAGAAAACTAGCTGAGAGACAGGCGAAACGGAGGACCCGCATGGTGTGGTGGTGAACGCGTTAGCCCCTGGAAAGGGTAATGGCGCATTCGTTCCCCACCGCATACACTTGCGATCCGGAGTTTTGCAAATATCTCAGCATCATTATGGTTGGGAGTAGTGTTGAGTCGAAAAGACGAGCTCAGAGTATTGTGTCTGTTAGTTAGTCGGTGGCTTTTTTGAGTGGCCCGAATGTGGCTCATGCTTCTCTGTGTTTTTTCTCTAATTCCGTTGTTTACCATGTTCACTGAACGCCCAAGGTACACGTAGGAGGTGTCTCCATAATCAGAGAACCATCCATTTTGACTTGTTCATCTTCGCACTAGCATGGACTGGGTCTTCGTACTATTTATACACAGTTCAATCCTTTTTTTTTCGCGTCGTTTAGTTCATGGAACATCGTTTCTCTTTCACTGGTACTCCTCGAAAAGATGACGATGTCATACGTTGATAGGAATTTTCCATCATCGCCTAGACCCTTCTCGTTCCAATCGGCTTTATTATCTACTGCAGTTCTTCATTAAACAGCCTTGGCGATATTGTATCGCATTCTCGAACTCTCTTTATGGGTATGGTGAAGAGTGGATGAAAAACGAGCATATTTGTGTTATAGTTCCGAGAATAGTCTGCTAGTGTTTGTATTAGGACGGATCTAGTCTTTCGTCAACGAGCAATAGTAGAATTGCATTTGTTTCGACGTTGTCAAACCCTGTCTCGTAGTGGATAAGGTTTAGGACAAGGGGCAGATAATACTTCCGATAGGCTTCTATGATCCTGAAGACGGTCTGGATGTGGTCTCTGCAGCAGGATCTCTGTAGGAGTTCTGCTTGTTCAATGAGTTGTGCCTCATCCAAAGTCTTTGATA